AGAACCATGTCATTTAAGTACAGTTTTCTTTCTTTTTAATCTGTATGCTATTTTTTTTAATTATGTCAAGAGTAGTACTTATCCATCCTTTTTTCTCTTAAAGGAAAATATTTAGCCTTTCACCATTAAGTGTGATGTTAGCAATAGGCTTTTTTGGTTGTTGCTGATGCTCTTTATGACATTGAGGGTGCTCCTCTCTAATTCCTAGTTTACTAAGAGTAGGTAAAGAGTAATATTTTAATGTGGGGCAAAGCAGATTTATGAAAAGAGCTCTAGTTTTTGCATACTAATATGCACAAGGATACAGTTCATGACAGGATAATCTCCATTAAATCTGAACCACTAATACAAGATATGTTGTAGAATATATAGGTTTATTTTCTAAAAAACTACTATACTTAACTTAAATCCAAATCTTTACATTGTATTAACATGGATCCATGTTTTAAATAATTTAGATTTCATTTATATCTACTGCATAGCAATCATAAATTAATGCAAAATGGATGCTTCATGTTTGAGACAGGTTGTCTACCTAAGCTAAGAAACATCTGGTATAGGGATTTTTCAGGTCCAGAGCTATAACATCCCAGGAAAACTCCAAATCTCAAATAAGAAGACAGAGTTCCCGACACCAAATTTAATTCATTTTAATTTGAAAATAAAAAATTTAGGGATATATAAAGAAATCATAAGCAATATCAGGATTTTGCAACTATTAGAAATTACAAATCTGTGATTTAAGAAACAATTTCCCCATTTTTAGAGTTTAATGAAATATTTAAAGCATAGCTTAGTTTTTTTTAAAAGTAAGCTCTTTCCTAATGTTGCTTAAAACAAACACACACACACACACACACACACACACACACACACACACACAGAAATTCACTCACTTAAGGCCTCACTCCAAGCAGGCCATCCCACAGGGCCAGCAGCAAGAAACCCATCAGTTTCAACTGAGCTTGTCTCTCAGATCACAGGCATGAAGCAGTGTCTGAGTCCAGCAAGCACAGGCTCTTTCCCCTGCCTGTTCTTCCACTAGGTAACCTCACATAATAATCAGCCATGAACTCTCCACTGTCTATACTGCAATCTCTCCCACAAGGATCCCAAAGACTGGATTTTTCACACAGATCATTCTTTTCCTTTCCTTTCTAGCACAGCGAAGTCAACTTAATACAGATCCTTGGAAGTCCACAAAGGTGAATGAATTAATAACTTACTGAGTATGATCTAACCATCCCTTTTCTCTCCAAATCCCTAGACATGGCAGAAAAGGTAAATCACAGGTAGGATCAGAAAGAAAGAGGCAATGAGAGCCACAAACCCTACTGGTAGAAGCTCTATGGTACCCTCTATAGAAGAAAGACTCCCTTATAGAAGACACATAGTAGAAACAGGAAAGAACTAAATCAAGAAAATCATTAGAAAAATTAATTGAGGTCAAAATCATCTTACCTCCTAACTATACTAGCACCAGCATGCCCAAGCAGACATGTGTTCCAGGTAGGAGGAATGACTGCAGGCATTAGGGACAGAGAGAGGACAATACCCAGGAGGCATACTGAGTCTGTCAAATAGCAAAACCAGATACCAGAACTTCACACATGGGCACACATCCTGCTCCTCTCCCATATCCACTAGAGACAGACTACAATACTCAGATATTCTATCCAGTCAGGCTATTGAAAAATCTGAAAAACACAGAAGAACAAACAACTGATATCCCCAAGCACCTAGGAAAAATGAGTTCAATGAAAGGAACAAAGTTCATCAAACAGAAGAAAGAACACTCAAAAAGATCCACTAAATGAAGTGCTTACAGGCAATTTAAAATATGTAATGCTGAATTAATGAAATGCCAAAAATAAAATGTCAAAAATAAAATTACTAAAGGAAGTAAGAGCAAATTACAGTTTTGTTGAGTAGGAGAAATAATGTGGATGTTAATTAACTATGCACATTAAGGGTGAACAACACCTAACTAAACAAAGAAAACAGACTCTAAACCATTTTGCAAACCACTGGGGAAAGGATAAAGAAAAATGAATAATTAAACAAAATATGGAAAAGGTAAAATATCATAAGGCAAATGAAAAAACACAAAATAAAGACACAAAACAAAGCTACATATTGTCTAAGATTTAAACATAAAACAATGACAGGGTACAGTTAGACTAGCATCAAATAAGCAGTTCCATATTGTCAAAAGGTATACAGCTCTTCAAGTAAAATAAAATAAAACCTTCTAAGTCAGGCATGGTGACATACACCTGTAATCCCAGCAACTTGGGAGACTGAGGCAGGAGGATCCCAACTTTGAGGCCAGTCTTGGACAACTTAGCGAGACCCTGTCTCAAAAGATAGAAAAAGGCAAGGGATATAGCTCAGTAGTAAAGGGTCCCTGGATTCAATCCTCAGTACTGCCAAAACAAATACAAAAATAAAATCCTTTATATATCTTATTAGCTTGAAAATAACATGTATAAAACAAAAACATAATACAGAATTCTCAGATCAGAGTAAGAGATTAACTTAATTGTGAAAATAACAGATCAGAACAAAACATATTAGGATGCAAAGCAGCAAATTAAATAATGAACAATATTAGTTATGTACAAAAATTCTGAATACACCAAAAGTACAAATAGTTTCATCACACAGGGACTAGTCATCACAGTAAAAATTACTATTTATTAAGCCACAAAGAAAATCCAAAATATTTCCCAAAGGAGAAACCAACTTGGTCTATTTACTAATTTCAATGTTCTAAAAGTATATGCCAAAAACCAGAGAGCTAAAAGAAAAAATAAACCTATCCCCCTTGACTTAAAAAGAAATCTTTCTAAACAACTTTTAGGTTAAACAAGAAACCAAACAATAAAGATAAATTGGTAATGAACAGTGACAACACAATGAAAACCCTAGGGTGTCAACAGACTATGGGGCAGGACAACATAAATGCATTTATTAGAAATCAAGACACTAAAGAAATAAGCTCAAGACCAGAAAATAAAAGGGAAAAAAGAAACTCAAAGATTCTGGAAAGAATTAATACAGAAAGAAAAATAAACAAAAAAATGTAGTTTTATAAGTAAAATCAAATATGATTCTTTGAAAAAAAAATAGACACTTTCTGAGTTAAGTCTCAACGCTGAAAACTAGTAATGCCACCAAACACTTATTAAACCAAACTAGGGTTTTTTATTTAGCAATATCTGGCAATTTAATATGACAGATTTTAATTTTTACCCATGCTCATTTTACTACAAATTTGTGAAAAATCCCCAATTTTGGCAAAATAAACTTAACAGTATATTAAAAGAAAAATAAAAAACTTAAGAGTATACTAAAAGAAAAATATCCATTTGTTCATATTTTTATTTTAATCATACTATTACACAAAGTGAATTGAAATAAATGCAAATAATGAAAATGAAAAGTACCTATAAGCTCTACCAATTCTACTTCACCAACACAAAGTAACCATTCATTAGATTAGGAAATATCCTCCCAAATAATTTTGTTTTACTCTTTCATAACCTTTTAAAAATTATGCAATATTTAATATACATGGGAAAAAAAAGAGAACATTACAATGAACTCCTATGTACCAAACCACCCAACCTAGAAAATAATCACCACCAATGCAGCTGAAACCCTATAAACATGCCTGCCTCTTAGAAGGCACCTATCATCATCTCATGCATTCTTCAGCTTACCGTATGTGCATGCACCCCTAAACAATATATACTATGTGTTTTAAACTTTTATATAAATGCTACATTATACATTCTCTTCATCATGTTGCTTTTTTCCCCTAAACATTATGCTTGTGAAATCCAGTCGTACATTTCATAAATTTTCATCAATGGATAGAATTCAATATGGATACTGAACAATTTATTCCTGTTGATGTGTATGCAACAATACTGTTTTAAGCATCCTTTGAAAATCTCTTTTAAGCATCCTTTGAAAATCTCTGCGTAAGATCTTCTTGGTGCACTCACAGAAGTGGAATTTCTGTGTCACAGATGTGATATCTTTCTTTACTTGATATTGCCAAATTGTCTTTTAAATTATACAAGAGTTCCTGATGTTCTGTAATCTTATCAACACTTAGTTTTGTCTGACTTCAGTTTTTCTCAATGTGTAAAGTATGAAATAGTATCTTATTATGGCTTTAATTTGCCTTTCCCTGTACTAATGAGGTAGAAGGTCTTTTCCTGTTTAGACATTTGTGTTTCCTCTCCTACAAATTCCTGGCTTCACTTTCTGATTAGAATGTCTCCACTAATCAAAATTTCTGGCTTAAATATTCTAATGTAAGACTTCAATGAAGCCTGATTATCTGTAGAAGAAAGAAACCATTCATTAACCCTTTCTTTCACAGAACACAATAGTCTAACATGAAAATCAATGTCTTGATATACATAGTATTCATCAGCACTCTTCAGTGTTAAATGCAACTTTGTCATTAATCTCTAATCCACATTTCAAATTATCAGACTACAAGTGGAAAATTCCTATTTATGAAGTTTGACATCACATGCATGTAACACTAGGACATATTTTTCCAAGGCTCAACTAAAACAAAGCTGACCTTCAGATCTACAAATCCTTAAAAATTAAAAACAATTTCCTACATGACCTTCAAAACAGATATGGTCCCAAAGGGAAAAAGTGGATACAACCCAAAAAGCAATAAATACTTCCACCCCAAGTAAGTAACTCCTGACAAATGAGTGCATATAAAAACATTGGGAGTAAAGGGAGAGCATCGTTAGGAATACCAAGAGCTACTAATATTTCAAGAACTGACACACAGATTGCCTGACATAAACTAAATGCCACTTTCAGGATATCTGGCATTCATGAAACCCAATTTCTTAAGTAAGACGTGTTTAACAGAAAATCCTCTTAGAAATTATTCTTAGATAAACAAAAATCAATTTGAAAAAATTCAAGTGGGTGAATACTGGACAAAGGTGACCTACCTACTGCAGGTGCATCATACTCATCACCGAGCAGAATTTCTGGAGCAGAATATGCAAGAGATCCACAGCTTGTAGTGAGCTTCTTCCCTGGTTGAAATTTGTTGCTGAAACCAAAGTCTGTCAACTTTACAAGACCTTGTTTTTCAAAGAAGACTACATTCTCTGGTTTTAAGTCTCTGTGAACCACATGGAGTTTATGGCAATATGATATAGCATGAACTATCTGAGCAAAGTACTTCTTGGCCAAGTCTTCATTAAGACCCTCCTCATGCTTCATTATGTAATCAAACATATCTCCTCCGTCTCCAAGTTCTAGAATAAGATATAATTTGGTCTGGGTGTCAATAACTTCATAAAGACGAACAATGTTAGGATGCTGCACTAGTTTCATACATCTCACTTCCTGGAAAAGATGACCAGTGGCTAGAGTGTCCAGTTTTGTCTTATCAATAACTTTTACTGCCACCTTTTCACCTGTAAAGACATGCCTGGCAAGCTTAACCACTGCGAAATGACCTCGACCCAAGGTTTTGTCCAGATCATATAATCCAGCAATCTTTCCATCATATCCTCGTTTGAATCCTGCCATGCTGGTCCAACAGGAGGAAAAATATTTACACTATTTGAAATGGATCTTCTCATATAAGAATATCTGCTGAAAATAAGGAATTCATTTTCAATGTTGCCACGGACATCTACAAAATAAGAGGAGAAACAAAATTAAGTATCTGTAAATTTTCTTTTCTTTCCTTTTAAGAGAATCTTAAATTAAGTAAATAAGTTGAAACAAAATGTACCAGGGTCATTTATAAGAATCTGTTTCTACATTTAGAGTTTATATCATAAAGTAAAGGTTGAGAATTTAAATACTATATTAGATTTTGCAAACTGAAAAAAAAATAGTTTATTAGAAGAAATTTTTTTGTGATGTCAGAAATAAACTGTCAGGTTTGACAAGCTACGTTTAAAAAGACAATAATTTTTCCAAAAATAGTTTCACTTAATGTCTTTAAAAACATGGCAAGAGTTAACAAGAATGGGAAAATTCAAAGAATAAACATTTGAACAGAAATTCCATAACTTTTTCATCTTAACCCAAAAAAGCAATATTTTAAGTGCAAAAAGTGCCACAGTGAAGTCTTCTTTAACTCTCCTAGAGAGAATTACCTTCTACCCTCTGCATCTCCAAACTGCCTTGGGATACCTCCATCCTATGTAGTCTGTAGATATTCAATCCTAACATTTTTCCATTCAGATTGGAAGGTTCCTTCTATTCTAAGCTCTTCCACTTTCCCCCAATAACCTAGAATAGTGCTTATATATAGCAGGTACTAAAAACTGTTTTATCAAATTTTGAAATGTTAACTTTTTCCCAAAATGTTTACAAGGCAATTGTTGTTCTTTTGTCACTACTGCCTAGGCTAACACCTGGCACACAACACTTGCTAACTGATTACTGCTTACTCTTGCTATTCACTCTTTCGTCCATTTTTATTATGGTTTTTCCGACTCTCAAAAATAAACTTCCTTGGCCTGCTTATATTTAAAAAGTAAATAAGCATGGATTCTTATAGACCATTTAAATTTTAAAGACCAAGTTTTCAATCTTTAAACTGTAAACCCCAAACACAGAAATAAGTTCTTACAAATGTTCCTGACTCAGAAAAACAAATGTCTAAAATTATGCAAATTAAGATGTCACTTTAAATATCACAGGCTGAAATCACATTTTTATTTTTCTGACTAACATCTAATAGAAATGAATACCAAAATCCATTGAGGAATACAGCAACCTCCCAAGACTAGCTTTGTTTGCTATGAGTGTATATCCATCCATTCAGTAAAGTCTTTTCTAATTCTCTCAGTAAAAGGTTTCCAATTTTTAGTTGCACAGTATTAAGAGAAGTATTTAATAGTATTTAATCCATTTAGGTAAAAATATTCCAAACAACTAGATTTGACATATAATAAAGCAGTTTTTTTTTAAAAAAAGAATCAACACTAGTAATATACTCCTTAAAATTTCAGTTTTATTTCAAAGAACAGAAGAAAAGCCAACATTTTTTGAAATCCTACTATAGGTATTTGTGCAAAATGAATCAGACTAGATTATGTCTGTGGCTCCTGACAATCCTGAGAGATACTAGTCTCATTTTTATAGCCAAGGAAACACATTCTGTTCTAGGTAATAAGTGCTTTAAGTGAAGCACTGAAAATAGGATTCAATCCTAACTCATTTTAAAGCCCATACTCTTTTTTAAAAATTTGTTTTAATTAGTTACACATGACAGTAAAATGATCTTGACATATCATACATTTGAATCAGATGGGATATAATTTCTCATTTTTTGGAGTGTACAGGTTACAGAATCACATTGGTCATGTAGTCATGTATATACACACAGCAATAATAATGTTTATTTTATTCTGCTGTCCTTCCATTCCTCCCTTCCCCTGCCATCACTTCTCTCTACCCAATCTAATGTGACACACTTTTTTTTCCCCTCACATCGTCATACGTGTATTCTGTATAACGATGAGAGTCTCCTTCCATCTTCCATGCAATTCCCCTTCTCCCTCCCTTTCCCTCCCACCTCTCTTCCCTATCTAGAGCAGAGGTAATCGTCTCATGTTCTTCCTCCCTACCCTTTTTGAGTCACCCCCTCTTATATCAGAGAAGACATTCAGCATTTGTTTTTTTGGTTGGCTAACTTCACTTAGCATAATCTGCTCTAATGCTATCCATTTCCCTGCAAATGCCATGATCTTGTTATTTTTTAGTGCTGAGTAATATTCCATTGTGTTTAAATGCCACATTTTTCTTATCCATTCAGCCCATACTCTTTATAATCGTTTGGCTACTTTAATCAATGCTACATTTGGGATATCTTACAGAGTTAAAATATCAACCACAGGGCTGGGGTCCAGTGGCTCAGTGGTAGAGCGCTTGCCTAGCATGTGTGAGGCACTGGATTTGATCATCAGCACCACATAAATAAGTAAAATAAAGGTATTGTGTCCATCTACAACTAAAAAAATATTTAAAAAAAATAAACCATAAAAATGTTATAAAGTCATTCTCACAGTCTTATCACTTCAGAAATGATAAAAATCTAGGAAGGATAGCATCTTCAACAAATGGTGCTGGGAAAACTGGAAATCCATTTGCACCAAAATGAATCTGAATCCCTATCTCTCGCCGTGCACAAAAGTTAACTCAAAATGGATCAAGGAGCTTGATATTAAATCAGAGACACGGCATCTGATAGAAGAAAAAGTTGGTTATGATCTACACGCTGTGGGATCGGGCTCCAAATTCCTCAATAGGACACCCATAGCGCTAGAGTTAACAAATAGAATCAACAAATGGGACTTACTCAAACTAAAAAGTTTTTTCTCAGCAAAAGAAACAATAAGAGAGATAAATAGGGAGCCTACATCCTGGGAACAAATCTTTACTCCACACACTTCAGATAGAGCCCTAATAACCAGAATATACAAAGAACTCAAAAAATTAGACAATAAGATAACAAATAACCCAATCAATAAATGGGCCAAGGACCTGAACAGACACTTCTCAGAGGAGGACATACAATCAATCAACAAGTACATGAAAAAATGCTCACCATCGCTAGCAGTCAGAGAAATGCAAATCAAAACTACCCTAAGATACCATCTCACTCCAGTAAGTCTGGCAGCCATTAGGAAGTCAAACAACAATAAGTGCTGGAGAGGATGCGGGGAAAAGGGCACTCTTGTTCATTGCTGGTGGGACTGCAAATTGGTGCAGCCAATTTGGAAAGCAGTATGGAGATTTCTCGGAAAGCTGGGAATGGAACCACCATTTGACCCAGCTATTCCCCTTCTCGGTCTATTCCCTAAAGCCCTAACAAGAGCATGCTACAGGGACACTGCTACATCGATGTTCATAGCAGCTCAATTCACGATAGCAAGACTGTGGAACCAGCCTAGATGCCCTTCAATAGATGAATGGATAAAAAAAATGTGGCATTTATATACAATGGAGTATTATTCTGCATTAAAAAATGACAAAATCATAGAATTTGGAGGGAAATGGATGGCATTAGAGCAGATTATGCTAAGTGAAGCTAGTCAATCTTTAAAAAACAAATACCAAATGACTCCTTTGATATAAGGGGAGTTAACAAGGACAGGGTAGGGACGAAGAGCTTGAGAAGAATATTTACATTAAACAGGGATGAGAGGTGGGAGGGAAAGGGAGTGAGAAGGGAAAGTGCATGGAAATGGAAGGCGATCCTCAGGGTTATACAAAATGTCATATAAGAGGAATGGAGGGGTAAGACAAGATAATACAAATGGAAGAAATGATTTACAGTAAAAGGGGTAGAGAGAGAAAAGGGGAGGGGGGGAGGGGAGGGAAGGGGAGGGGAGGGGGGATAGTAGAGAATAGGACAGACAGCAGAATACATCAGACACTAGAAAGGCAATATGTCAATCAATGGAAGGGTAACTGATGTGATACAGCAATTTGTATACGGGGTAAAAGGGGGAGTTCATAATCCACTTGAATCAAACCGTGTAATATGATGTATTAAGAACTATGTAATGTTATGAACGACCAATAAAAAAAAAAAATAAAAAAAATAAAAAAAAAAAATATTTAAAAAAAATAAACCATAAAAATGTTATAAAGTCATTCTCACAGTCTTATCACTTCAGAAATGATAAAAATCTCATATTTGGGGCCATTTCAAAAAATGTATAGATTATAAGCTTAAAAAGTCAACAGTAATATGCTTACTAACATGTTTTATATATTTTAGGAATTATTACAATAAGGAGCATTACTATTCCCTGAATGAGTACTATGCTAGTCATATACTGAATGCTTTACATAATTCCTCTTTCAATCCTACCTCAACAAATAGAGAATATCAGCCCCATTTTGAGGCACAAAAATATTAAGTAACTTGGCCTAGGCAGGGTCAGGATGTAAAAAAGCTGGAGCCAACCCCAGGGCTATCTAACACCAGTCAGTGCTTTTAAACACTGCTATGCTGTTTCTGCAAGCAGATTTCAGTACCAAATCTAAATTATTAATCCTATATTAAGATTTTTTTAAAAATAAGAAACCAGTACGATGATAGCCAATTTCTTCTATACTCCATACTATCTTTGTAATATGAGCTAATAATATTAATGACAAGATTAACAAGAAAATCCAAATTGGAAGATTTTGTTGTTTGGACAACAGCTCCCAAAAAGAAATTTAGTTATATTTAATTTTAAAAATAAAAACTGTAAGCTAATTCCAGAGAATAGGAAACTATCTTTAAATCTTTAATTTAAATTAATTATAAGGGCAGTAATTATTCTTAAAATCCTAAGAGTCTATCTATGTTTCTATTGCTCAAGTTTGCAAATGCAACTTTAGCTTTCAAAATAGACTCTTTCAGGCTCTCCCCAGTTATATAATCTTTGTTATCTTCATCTATCATATTAATTTACATTTGCTCCTGAAAAGTGGCATAAAAATCAGATTTGATAAATGAATCTATTTTTTTAATTAAATCTGTTTTTACAAAAATAATACATTTTTTAAAAAGGGGTTTTGTTCAAGGTCCCAAGACAACCAGAGATAATCACTATTAACCCCTTAACATTTCTCTTCCCAGTATGTGCCAACAGGACAAAATAAAATATTTTTTACTAGAAAGCTCACAGAAAATAATCTAATAGGTCTCTTTGATTAATTACTTTATCAAAGAACTAACTTTCAGTACAAGTGCTCACTTTTCAAGAGTATCAAACTACAATTCCAACTGTATATCTAAAAAAAAGATATTATGATTAACTTAAGGTTGGGAGGAAAAATATCCTTATTAATGAATATCTTTTAAAATACTAGTGCACTATCTAATCCTACTATCAAGTGCATTTTGAGTTACGATAAGAAATAATTCAATCTTTTTTTTTCTCTCTGAGGATCTCACAGTGCCTGAAAGTCATTCTGAACACCAATGCTGAATGTTAAGATATGGCCTATATAAAGTAAAAGTGAATTTGTATCAGTTCTAAGACATACCTTGAAAACTGCACACTGAATAATCCTTGTTATCACTGTGTTTTGTTAGTTGCTTCTTTCTCCTAGAAGAAAATATAGAAAAACATTTCTAGTTTAGTTCTATTTAACTGTGCTTAAAGTCAAAATATAAACCATAAGACCAGATTCTATATAATAAACATGTAAAAATGGCAAAATTTGTTTTTAGTGACCCAGTCTCCTACTATTATCTTTCTATCTTCTATGACGTATAATTCCTTTAGCAAATCTTTAGTAAACTGGAATTTCAAAGTGAAGAGATACAAAGAAATTTTTCTAAATAGACGGGTTAAAAAATTATTCCACTGGAAGGAAGAACTAATCATAATGAATAACAGTATATCTGCTATTTTCTAAATGCCTACTGGGTGACGAACCCTGAATCTGTATTCTGCTGCATTTTCACTGTGAGCCTGCAAGGTACAGGCCAATCAGGCTCAATTTGTCAGATAAGTAGCAGTCTCAGGTTCCAATTCTGTTCAGCCTGGCTTCCAAGCCTAACCCACCTCCAGGAGTCCCTGTGGGTTCATGAAATACCCACAACAGGAGCCATAGAGAGCACCTTTACAAAATACTCCTCTGTAAAGGCAAACAAAAATCAATTCTGATGATTGATTTCTGAGTATCTGTGAACCCAAAAAGCATAATAAAGAGACTTGCCATATGATAGTAAAATTAAACTATCACTATGAATGTGAGCAGATGACTTATATCAAGTTTATGGTACAGTAAGGTAATGTTAACTAAGGTAGTCTTGCAGGCACTTCCACAACCTTGAATATCACACAAACAACTGAAAGGCTTAAACATTCACATTCACATCTTACACTAAAGGTGAGCAGTGTCCAGGTAATCACTAAGCCCAAGTTCACATGCATTTAGGGAAAAGGAATGCAAGGGAATAGGAAAAAGTAGGCAGTAAAGGTGAAAGAAGGAAAGGTAGGTGACCTCTGGTTGTGAAAACAAATCTGCTGCTGCAAAGGAGAGAATGAGGACAGAGAGTTATGCAGCATAAATAAAGCCAACAAAGCCAACGCAAAGATCCACATCTAGAGATGGGCGAACCCTGGGATGCAAGCCTGCTCCAAGTCAGGTATGATGATAGCTCCTCCCATTATGCCTACCTGCTTCTCTCTTCAAAATCCCTGTTTCATCCAGTCTCCATGGCAAGACAATGTACTAGTGCAGTGGCTGAGCACTGGTTCTGAAAGTCAATAACTAGATTTGAATTGAACTGAGGTTCAATCACATGCCACAGGACCTCAATAGTTACCCAACCTATCTATACGGTCAGTTTCCTCACTAGAAAATGCTAATTATAAGAAAACAACAACCCCATAGACTGTGGTGAGGATTGCGTGAGTTAATACAGGTAAAATGCTTAAAATAATGCCAGCTTAGAGTAAGCCTTCAGTAAGTACAATTCACACCCATGCCCACTGCCACAATGATGGCACTTCATTTCCCAAGAACTAATTATTCAGTTGTTCACCCTATTTCAAAAAACGAATTCACTGAACTAGTATTTCTTTTGCTGTCATAAAAATTCCATCCAATTTTGCAAAATATATCAAATTTAAATTGGGTGTTACAAGATTTTAAGGTATAGAAAATAATGCCTTTAGCTGAGCATCAAAGTCTGATTATTTTTCAATAAAACATTCCAAACCCCTCCCCAAGTATCAACTTTTAAGATATTAAGATAATTTTCTATCAAATTTACCCTTTAAAAAAGGATTAAGTGTTCCTTTACTTTTTTCCCATCACAGTGATATATTTTAAAAACTTGTAAAGCACAAAAGAGAAATCAAAAAATAAAAAGATATCCATAGTGCTAGCACTGAAAATTGGCACTATTGATATATTTTTGGTGGTCAATATTGAAATATTTATATATGGCAACTTTTGTTTTATAAATGCATGATCATTATATCATATATCTTGCTTTTTTCACGTAACATATTTTACTTTAGTTTAATATTTTTGTTTCAATTATGAATTAAGTATCTGTTTTGTTTAGGAAAAAATACAACTAGAATATGCAAATTATCGAAAAGGGGATTTAAGAAATATCATCCATTATCCCATCTGTTAACATTCTGCTACACAGTCTTTCTTTTCTATGTATAATATAGGCCCAGACACAATTTCCTTTTTTATAAAATAAGATAGTACATGGAGCAAGGGAGGTGATGTCAGGGACAGAGAAAGGTTTTTTGCACTTTTACAAATATTTCTCTCCAAAAAACGACCCAGAGGAGTTAGCACAGTTCACTTTAGAAAATTTGAGAGATGCTGAGTAGTGCAAAAGAGAAATTAATTACAGGTGATTTTTTAATCTCATGGATGATGACTTCTTCATCAGGTCTAGGTGTACATCTTTTATACTTAGGCTTCTTTACAAACTTAAGATAGTCACGAAATTTGATAGCTACTTTATACATTTTCTCATGTATTAAAATCTTCAGTAATTTTAATGACTATATAGCTAAAAGGACTGCTTTTTAAACAGAAAACACCATTAAATTAGGCCATTCTAAAGCAGCCTTCTTATTCAGCACATGTTCATACATGTATATAACTAGGCTGGACCTAAATGAAACAGGCCAACTTGCCAAGAGTGTTTATAATATGGAAATTCATGTTTAAGAAACAAGTACTGGTATGTGTTGCAAGAATCTATTGATGTTCTCCCAGCTAAGAGAGGAGAAGCAACTGCAGGGTGTGGGTGTGGCTGGAGAAGAGGAAGGAAGTGTGGGTGGCCATACACACGTTTTGCAAGCTGCCGAAAACAGTTGTAGAACCAGCCCCTGTTAAACGTACTGTCAATTTGTAATCCACTCTGCTATTCTTGTTAAAACTCACTTTTAGCTTTTTGTTGACATCACTACCACTGCAGTTTGGTCTATATATCAAGCAAATGTTTCCTATTCACTCCTCTCCCCCAGAACAGGTAAGAACAAAACAGTATAATGGCCCAAGATGGCTCTCTCTAGATACCACTTTGGACCAACCCATAGCATGAGAAAGTGTAAGAATTTAAAATAAAAGAGCTGTATGCAAGTATAAGGCTATTTATATAGGCTCTCTACATTTTGTTTGTAATATTAAAATATTTTCCCCCAAAACCAGTCCATCAATATCCAGTCTCTGAAGGCAGTGTGACTGGGTTGCTGATGCAGATCAATCCTTGAAGTGCTGGTTTAAGTAATCCTTATTTCCTCTAAGTGAAACAAGCTACAATTTCAGAATATATCAATGAATTTGAATGTACTCAAGAGTCAGGCAAATCATTTATTAGCTGATGTAGAGTAGTTCTTAGTATTTGTAGAGAGAAAGGGGCTAACATCCAAGCCATAAAACTTGGATCAGCAACACAGATAATCTGAGATAAAAAGCTCAAATTCCTAAACAGAACATGCCTCTTGTTAAAGTGATAAAAAAGACTAAGTGTGTTCACCATTTCTACCTATCAGTAATGGTGATATCCTGGCATAAGGTAAATAAAGAATGACTTAAACAAAAGCTGGTGTGTAGAAATTACTCCAAAATAAATCAAACCAAATCACCATTACCCATTATTCCCAGAAAAACAAAATGTAAACTGGAAGCTGTGGAAAAATTTTAAATGTTTATAATCTAAATCTCTCTTTTTCCAAAGCATGGTCAAAACTCATTTTAACTCTCTATCTCCCCCCACTCCTCCAATTTGGGATGGAGATAACCATTAAAAATCAATCAATCAATCAATAAAAGGTCAAAAGAAAATGATGGAAGAGGGAAGGGAAAAAAAACTCCTTAAATACTGGCTGACTTTGACTAAAAAGAGAATCATTTGGAAATTTTCTTAAACTGGTGGAGTCGCAAGTTAATTTTCTGAAAAAAACTTGCCAAGATGTATTTCAAGAGCCTTAAAAATTGTTCATGTCCTCGATTAATATTACTACAGGTTTATCATCCCTAATCTGAAATTCTCCAAAATCTGAAACTTCTTGAGTGGCAAAGTATTGTAGAACATTCCATTCCATAAACCTTTTGTGACAAAAAATAATTAATATGTGTATAAGATGTATATGAAACAAAGGAGTTTCATGTTTAGATTGGGGTGTCACCCCTACAATGTCCCATTATGTATATGCAAATATCTTAAAATCTAAAGAAGAAACAAACTCCAAATCCAAACATTTCTGGTCCCAAGCATTTCAGATAAGGGATATTCAACATGTACTAAATTTGTTTCTTAAAGATGCAGATAAATACTTATATTCAATAATGTTCAGTGATGTTTAAATATGCTCCCCAAGCCAGAAATAACCTAAAAGTCTATAATACAGAAATAGTTAAATAATCATAGTATATCCGACATTAGTACAATGCTAGTACATTTAAGACTATTTACTCTGGGGAAATTCTTACAACATAATGTAAATAAAAAACTTTATATACTAAATTTCATAGCATATGATCTCATTTTTCAAAAAGCATATAATTTGTATGAATGTATATTTTTAAGATCTAAAATATTAAGTAAGATTACAGAGTTTTTCCTCTATGGTAAATGGTAACAGCTCACCATTTACCTTCAGTGAATATGTGCTGCTTTTATAATCCAAAAAAAACAGAGGCTATTAAAATTTTTACTTTCTATAATTATTCATTTACTTTTATATTAAGAAATAAACCGATTTCTCTCAAAAATACTTTCTAATACATTTTTATGTAATCTTAATAAACAAAACATATTTAATGAAATATTCTGCTTCCCCCAAGGGAGAAGGTACATAATTCCTTCAGGCTGAGGAACAGGAATACTGAATCATTTTCATTAACAAATAATTTAAGCCCTAACTGTGGAGGACACAATGCAGTTCCTGCCCTTTAAAATCTTACAAATGAGTTAAGAAAATAGGACCTACATAAAGAGAGATAAATAATCACACATATTAGTCTTTGAGGAAAGGAACTAAGGAAGAAAAGGATCACCAAAGGCAGGGGGTTAGCCCACAGACTAGGGCTCATTCTTCAGTGGGGAATAGCGAAACATCATTACTACAAGTGGGATAAACAGAGGCAGCCAAGTGGGGAGTACATATGGCTGGTTAGTTCAGGAAAGGGGAACACCAGTGTGAGTAAAGTTAGGATTTTGGGTGGAGGTGAGGTAAATTCTGTAAGATAAGGAGAAAGCTGATTCTGTAGAAACCCTAATGGCTCACCATTTACCCTCTCAAAACTGATACAAAACTTGCCATACTAAATAATTCACCACATATCTACCTTTGAATTATAGCTCAGCTTAATCAAAACATCAGAGTTAAAAATGCACAGGCAAAGTTTCTTGTAAAAGAATTATATGAGGTCAACAGAAGATACCTTTAGGTACCAATATGAAAGCAAAATAGAAATAAGATCATTTAGAGGCTTAAACCAATTTAAAAAGTTCATTGTTCAGTTTAAAGTTACCTAAATCACCAATTTCTGGTTTTGACTTGTTACAAGTTCTCTCATTATTACCCATATACATTCTATTCTCCTAAAAATCTACTACTAACCTCAATAAGGTTATACAGAAATAAATTTTACAGCATAACTAGTTGATTTTTGTTTCACTTCAAATTTTAAAAATGCTTTTTACTCCCACAATTACCTAACAGAGTGCCAGTATTATTTGAAATATAAGCCTTAAAAAGAGGAAACAATTTAATTAGTAGGAATTTATATACTCACTTATAAAATTTTTATATCATTTAATTCCTCACAATAAGTGACATAATAGAGGCATCATACTGTTTTTCAAATTATTTGTTAATGAAAAGGAGGTGAAGGACTCATTCTGCCTCAGTCCTAAACCTTGTAAGAACTATCTAGATTAGACCCCAGACCCCACTAACCTGGGCCTTACATTTTTCTTTCTTGTACAATACAAAGCTTCGCTTTTCTTTTTCTACTATGGTTTCTCCTGAGAAACTAAAGCACTTTAATAAACCTACTTTGATATTTCTGGTGTTCCTCCAATTCTGATATGCCCAGTAAGCTACCTGCCCCAGCAATCAATTCAATAAAGGAAATTCTCCAGTGCCACTCTAGTAAACACCATTAACAAATAAACTTTTTGAAATGTTTAGAAACTATTTGTTAAGTCAAGGAAGGAAGTTACAGGCAAATAACCATTCAAAAAACAGGCTGGGGTAATTATTAGTTATCTAAAAATGGAATGGCATCTTGAAAATAACTTCCTACAATTGTTTGCATACAATTTTGTGGATGGCAAGATATCCCCCTACCTCCAGCCAACACCAACTTAATCAAGTAAAAATTTAGGCAGGTTCTATTTTCTTCTTAAAACTTTCATCCTTTCCTAAACTGCAATTTAAGTGCACTAGGCAAATTATATTCTTTCCAGTTGTTTTCTGAATAAGTATTTTCCTTTACAAGAGGATTAGTAAATACTTATCAGATAGGAAAGCAGAGTACAGAATCAATCCCTGAAACTGTACACAGAATATTACAAATATTATAAATTTCTTTAAAAAGTACCATTCATAATGCTTTATGCCAATAAAGTGAACGATGTAAAACAGAAAGCAAAACTTTACCTTAAAATTCACTCAGCCTAGCCAGGTGGGTGGTGCATGACTGTAATACCAGCAACTTGGGAGGCTGAAGCCAGAGGATTGCTAGTTGGAGACCAGCCTCAACAATTTAGCAAGGCCCTCTCTCAAAATGAAAAATTTTTTAAAAAGGCTGGGAATATAGCCCAACAATAAAGCATCCCTGGGTTCTGGGCACCAAAAAAAAAAAAAAAAAAAAAAAAATTCGCTCAGCCTTTGTTCACTGCTAAATAAAAAGGTTATAAGAAAGGGGATGGGAAGAAGGGAGGGGGAAAGTGCTGCAGAGTGATATTGGCCAAATAATTTGTTATATGTTTATTTATAAACATGTAACAACAAATTCCACCATTATGTACAACTACAATGCACTAATAAAAAAATGTGGGGGAAAAAACAAATTTAGTTCTGACACAATAAAGAAGAAAAAAAAGGGAGGAGCTATACAATATCTTTCTTAGAAATCCACAAATACTGTACACTCTAGCTTCTAAACCTGTCCGTGAATATTTGTTAGTATACTGTCCTAAATCTACAATGAACTTCATATAGATGAGTCATACTGTAAAACTTGCTTTTAAAACATAAAAGATGACATATACAAATATTTCCCCAGCTATGCAACATAGAGTTAAACACAATAAAATGGGGTGGCATGCATGAAGCACTGGGTTGGATCCTCAGCATCACACAAAAATAAAATAAAGACATTGTGTCTACCTAAAAAACTAACAAAACAAAACAACAACAACAAAAAAAACCCACACAATAAAATGACCTAAGAGGTATGTACACACATACGGGGGAGTGGGAACATGAGAGAAGAAGTACCACATGGTCAGCTTCTCTTATTATCTTCACTATATGGTACGTATTAGGAATGATCAAAAGTCATTTTTTTCAGTCAATATGCAGAGCAGCATGACAGAACAATAAAAGGTAAAAGTCACTCCACTTATATGAACAAGCATGTCTTTATCTATAAAACAGATAATCGCCACTTTCTAGTTACTGTGAAAGCTAAACAGGACAATAATACACAGTTAAAAGGTGTGAGTGGGATGAAACTTACAAATGATGCTTTCCCCCAACTTTTTAGAACTGGCCTACCTTCCTGGAATCTCCCAGGAGATTCCAATACTAGAGAGGGGTAGTAAATTTGGTTCCCCACCTTCTTGTTATCAGTACCCTCCCCAATTAGCCCAACATCCCAACTGGATATATACTAGAAAGGTACCTGACTCAAGTTCTTTACAACTTCTTACAGGAACAGATATGCAAAAAGAGGTGTCCTTTCTCTAAATATACTTTGGGGAGTTCATAGAAGTATTCCAAAGAATTACGTTTTCCTTTTTTTTTTTTTCCGCCAGCAGTGCTGGGGATCCAACCCAGGGCTTCACACCTGCTATGCCAAGTGCTCTAGTGCTGAGCTATACTCTCAGCCCCACAAAGAAACTGTTTTGAGTGTTTGAGCCAAGAACTGCAATTGGGACAAAATTGCGGATCATAGGAAACAAGGTAGGACTGGAAGATAAGGGCTAAATATCCAAACAGCTTTGTATTCCATATAAATGACCAATTTATTTGTCTCAGATGTGGCTAGCCATCACCCATGTTTTAGGGTCCTGCTTAAAGTTCATATCTTGATCATTCCCATGCCCTCCCCACCTTCCTGCACACACCAGTTCTCTATACCCACTCACAGCACATTATGTCCTATACCATTATTATCACAACTATGAGAACATATAATTATTTGTGATCAATAATCTGCATACCCTACTAGACTAACTGAGAAGTTCAGTCCATGTAAGGACCAAGTCCATTTTATTCAGCTCTATATCCCAGGGCCTGCCAAGTATAACATCTACCTAAAATATATGTATACATTCTGTTAAATGAACAAATGAATGCTAGCATAGGCCGCCAAAGAATCCTGAACAGGAGAATGGCAGTTTAACAAATCACTCTGGCAGCAAAAATGAAGATCAGACTGGAAGGGCAAGACTAAAGCTGGGAGACAAGTAAGGAGACCACTGGAAATGTCTCCAGGTAAATAATTACTTAAAGGCTTAAAAATAAGGGCAGTCACTATCCAGGCAATGATAAGAATGTAGTGGAAAAGATTTGTTTCAGAGGCAGAATCCAAGAACTTGGTGCACAGGAATAAGGCAAATATACAATGACTCTAAAGGAGAGTGACCCACAGTACCATTCTCTCAGACTGAGAATACAGAATGGGAACACTTCATGAACATCTAGCAGAGTGGAAGATTTGCTTCTAGCTCTAAAATTCTGTGACTGAAAAACAATTTAAAACCAACCTACCTGTATTAAAGTAGGCATAGTCTCTATTAACAGGCTCATAAGAACAACAAATTGAAGCTTCAATTTTAAAGTTTCATCATCAAGACATTTTCTGGGTACACAGATGGTACTGGGCATTACTCCAGTCTGGGGATATACAGGTCTAGGAAGTGGTCTTTGGTCTTCAAATAGCTGCCAGTCTTTTCAGTTTGAGAATGATAACTGCATGCCAACAACTGAGAAATTCAGACCCAATGAGGCTATGATTTGACCACAGCCACATCGGGTGACCAATGCTTCTGGAGCATTTATTTCATAACCTATATTAAAGAGTCTAGAAGGAAAAATAAAAGAGTCCAGGCAAATATATAGTTGAGGGCATATGCATTTAGATGGAGAGACCCAAAAGCAAGACTGGGTCTCGTTTTGAGCCTGGAGACACTTTACAATTTAAAACATGTCCTATGGATAGATAATGCCCCCTGACTTTAAAGTAACTGTTGAGTAACTGCAGCAGAATAGGAAGCACAACATAAGAAAGGTATAAAGGCCTGGTTTGTCAAGGAAGAGCCTACCTGAGAAGAAGCAAAATGCTGAAGGTGCCAAAGCAGACTCTCAGGAGGCTCTGGAAGTGACAGCAGAGAAATATACATTCAGAGAAGGCAGAGCAGGAATCTTCTTTTAGACAGGTTCCTCCCCTACTAATGGCAAGAAATGGTTTTCCAAGGGATGTAAGGCCACAACCCAAAGCAGATGTGCAGAAAAGCAAATGAGGAAATGATCCTCATGGGTGTGAATACCATAGTTCTGGATCATCCAAAGCAGACAATACACTCTCAGTACTCACACTTGGGGCCATTAAGCCCAAGGGATATGACACCAGTTCTTTCCAACCCAAAACAACAACAAAAAAACCCTTCCTCATTGTCCCTCAAAGATAGAGCCCCATTCCCCTTTCTTTTCAAATGCATTGAAGAAAGAACAGCTACATCCTCTCTTTCTTCAACTCCTTTTCACCCACTTGGATTTAAGTTCTCCTGATATCTGACCTCATTTTTCTCAGCTTCCCTGAATCCTGATCCTCTTTCCCTTTTCCTTTTAAGACCATTTCAACCATCACCTTCTCTAGGAAGCATTCCCAGGTCAAACTGTTCATTGCCCCTACTTCTGCAGGGTTTTTTCCTATGCTCACCAAGGCATGCTTCAATTCTTATTATGTACTTTTTATTCTTATTATATGGTGTTCCCCCTATGTCTTCTAAGCTCCTAAAGGCAGGAACTGGTTTTTGTTAACTTCTCTACTGCTATCCTCTACCCCATGTCCCCAAATGTAGGCAAAGTTTCCATGAATAAATAATCAAAGGTTAAGTTTATTTTCAAAATTTCTAGAATCCACTCAACTTTTCAAACTAAGCTGCTCTAAGAATTTACCTGCATATGGACACCAGGAAGTACCTATATTCTGAGTAAGTTTTCTTACAAAAGTATCTTGACTCAAAAGTCTACCTTATGGTTTATTAAGCAAACAGCTGTAAAGCTGTAAAATTAAGCCTAAAATCCTGTCCCATGTGGAAAATTCACTTGTACTCTTTTCTTCCTAGGCCGTACAATGAATGACCTCTTCGGCTCAGACAAGAGCTACAGGGAGAAAAAAAAAGCATACCTTATTTATTTATACCAATGTTTAGAACCATGGCTGTTCAATATCTCCAAAAATAACTTTTTTTTCTATTTAGTTTCACTTTGAATATGAAGGAAGCACCCTTGGTGAAATTTAGATGTGCAATATTTCTGTGGCCAGTAAAGATATGATGAATCTCCTTCAATTTTAATGAAGACATTTAAAATTCTTTCTTTTAGGGTTATATGATTAAACTTGAACCAATTTATATTTCTGGTTTAGAAAAGTACACATAAAATTAGTATAACTTCTAAGTCTCCATTAAACTAATGGATCTTAATGCAATAGCACAGAAAATAAAAAGCAAATTTTGTGCATAAAATAATAACTGATTATGGAAATTTTTAAAATTGGAAAGTGACACTCAAGTTTCCTCTCCAAAAGTCCTGAAAATAGGAGTATTAAAAAAAGTTAGCACCATGCACTTGATTTTCTACACTGCTTCAAATATGACCTTGGGAATGTCATGTAATTTCTCTCATTTTTAGTTCTGTAAAATGGGAATGTCATCTATTTTCCTCACAAGGACAATTATACAAATAGAGAAAAGAATCAATATATATTTGGTGTTCTTTTAAAAAAGAAACTTGTCTAATTAGTATGCTTTAATCACTACTTGTACAGTACATTCCTCTTCAGGAATCCAATTCCAAGAGAAATATTTAAGCAGACGTTGAAGACAGATTTCCTTAAGGGAATGATTTTATAAATCTGGAAAGCAATGTAACAAGATTATAAATTAACAAGTTGATTACATAAGCCTGAGAACCCAGGCTTTAGAGTACACATTCTGAGAAGTTACAGACTGATTTGGGACATGGAAACCCAACCCTTTCAGGGAACCCAAAATGAGGCTTTTGATTTGTGGAGATTCAACAGGATGCTCAACACTTGCAGTTCCATCACTTGCAAGCCATGCTTCACCTTAAAATCTGACATTAAGTCCGCTTCACCACCTCCTAAGACTGAGAATGCTCTCAATTAAATGGAAGGGTAAGAAATAACCTGATACTTTGAAAGGTCCTGGATCCCCATCGGTCTATAGACTGAGGAACCCCACTGCTTAATTCCCCCCAAACACTGCACTTGACCCAAACTCCCTATGAAGCTACTGGATTGTATCTGATCCAAATGCGAGCAATAGCACAGCTCCAGGAACCCGTAGCATAAAAGGCTGCTACTCTCCTGAATCCCAAGTCGAAGTCCAAGGCAGGAAGGGTTTTTTTTGCACAATGGTCCAGAAAGAAATCAACAGGCGATGACTGTGGAGAAGAACGTAGGTTTCCCCATCCGAAAAATTCTGACTCTCCCATGGGAACGACGCTGCTTCTCCTCAGCCCTCTGTCCTTTCTCTACAGACAATATCCCCGTTCTATTGTAAAGCTGCAATTTGACCGAGAAACCCTCGTACTGCAGCCAGATTTCTAGATTCGCTTAAAAACAGAAAACAAATTAAGAAAGCAAAGCCCACTGAGAGGCCGCCCGGGGCGGGGCGCGGGGCCGCGGCCTCCGGGTGCCGCAATCCCGCCGCGGCCGCAAGGGCAGGGCCTGGGCGCCGCGGCCCGCGCCGCAGTGCCGCTCCCGCCCGCCGCCGCCCCCCCAGGCCGCGCCGCCGCAGCCCGGGCCCGCGTCTTCCGCCGCGCGGGAGCGCGGAGCGCGCAACTTACTTTCCCCCGCGGCGGCGCCCTAGCGGGCAACGGCTGCGGCCCCTGAGGCGGCGGAGGCGGTCGCGCCCCCGCCCCCGGCCGCCTGCCCAGCCGCACTGCCCTACCTCAGCCGGCAGGCGGGCGTCCGTCCGCAGCGGCCGCGGCTCCGACAACTCCCTCCCGGCCGCTGGAACCCCGCACCCAGCGCTAATCATAATACCGAGCGGCGGGCGGCCGGCAGCGGGAGGGTGGGGCCGAATGCGCCTGCGCGGGCTGTGCGTCACCGTGACGCAACGCTGGGGTGGGGCGGGGCCGGGCGGGGCGCACCTGCGGCCGGCGCGCAGGCTGCTGGAGGGCATCGTGGTGGTGGCTAGAGGCAGGCGAAGCCCCGTTGCGGTAGCTGGAGGTAGCGGTAGAGGCACCGGAGGAGCTTGGGGACTGTGCTGGAGGATGGACCACGAACACCAGACAATGGCCGGGAAAAGTAGCTCGAACAGTCAGGGGAAATTGGAGGGAAGGGGCCGCATCTGCACAGGACTGCATCCTCAGGATGGGGGTCAGGGAGCAACAGGCACTTTTATCCTTTAAGGTTCGCCCCATCTCCCTACCAGGATTTAGCAAGGACAGGGAAGAAATTGTATATGCATATGCATGTATATACATGTGTATGTATGTACATTTACATATACACATACGCATAATGTTTTTTCTTTACACGTTCTTCTCTCTGGGAACTCAATTAGAAAGAATTTTGTTGATTTTGTTGCTATTTAAACAAAAGGAGAAGAGCACAGTAAACGAATGTAACCCTGGCTTTAAAGGTCAGCAGGAGACTGACCAGGCCAGGTGGCTTCTGGAAACAATGTGGAAAAATAGATTATGGGTGGAAATATTAAAGCACATGAAGTCCGGAATGCTAAATACGCAACCTGTGGCCTTGGGTGGTACAGCAGCACGGTTCCCACGCGGGAGGGTGGGATGGAAAAAATTTTAGCATTGGCAGGAGAGGATGGAGGGGGACTCCAGCTCCCTCTTTTGGACGCATGGCATGCCATGAAGACCAGCTTTCTGGGTTCCTAGAATCAAGCCCTAACAAGCCAGGTGCCAGGTTTCTCCTTTTCACTTTGTGTCCCCCACTTCTTTGCACCCATACTGTAAGAAAGGCTTCTCTAGCAAAGGATACAAGCACAGAAAGGCTGCTTTGATGATGCTCCAACTTTGGTTGAACTGACTGGAGGCAGATATCCAGATGGCTTTAGCAAATCTGTTGATCTGCAGCTATTGAAAGCTTTTGCTTTTAAACTTTCTACAACATTAACTTTGCACATCTGAAGATGATTCGGAAGCAGGAGTGGATTTTTAGGAGGCACAAACCTTTTGACTCTGGTTAATGACATAAAGTGTCTTTCTTAAAGGATAACTTCCAGTTACCCTAATGTCCTAACCCTAACAATAACGGGGAGATGCACCAGGCAAAGTTTCAGGCTCGGCCTCTGCTCCTCAAGGTGCCACCTTTGGGATCATTCTGACTTTGAAAGACCAAGAAAGGATAATCTCATTTTGCTATGGAAATTCTACTTTAACAGCATATTAAACAAGAGCTCCTAACCTGAAGTTGTGGAATTCATTCTTTTGTTGCTGGAAGACCATGCACTTTTCTCCTTGGGGAGGAATTACTAATCAGGGGACCTTGTAGTCAACCAAAGGGAGGAAATACCATGCAAATGATCTCCCAAGGGAATTCCAGTGGTAGAAGGCTTTTAACCCCCAGCAGGTCTGTAGCCACTGAGAAATAACTGTAACCATAGAACAATGATCATAATATATAAGCCCTTGAAAAAACAGAGTATTATATTGTTACTGTGTAACTCAGACTTTGAGTAAATCCTCTAAGGGAAAACAAGAGCAAAAAAAAAAAAAAAAAAAAAAAGAGCTTCAAAGACGTAAGTGAAAAGAGACAAAATAATAAATTGATTTAAATAAAGTCAGCTCCAATTCTCTTCCAGTTTAGAAGATATGATACAGGCTACATGGTAAATCATTTATTCATCTGCAGTATTTCTTGGGATGCTGGAGTACTGCTGGCAAGAATGTGACCCGTTTTCAATTCCACACCATAAATATGCTAACTTGATCTGATTATGCTTGAGCAATATTTGAACACATTCAAGTACAAATTAATATATTATTACTTAACTTTGGATTTAAGCAAATGTGCTTATTTTAATGAAGAAGCCCCTTTCCAATCTGCCCTGGGGCTTTCTCCAACACACATTGCTTTTTTAATGCTAGGTCTTTTTATGGACCATAAGAAGCTTTAATTAGATATACAGCACTATACAAAAAAATGACAAGATGGAGCATGCAGGCTTGTATTCCAGTCTCTGATTCAGATCTCAAAAATAACATGATGCCACTGATTTAAGAAAGAGATTGTTTATTGGAAGGAAACCAAGGAGGTGCAACAAATGAGATCAAGCAGATTGTGAAAATTAAGCAGATTCATGAAAGAATTGCCATTTTTATCTTGGGACCCTCAAAAGCATCATATGTAACAAAGTTTATCTTCACTAGATATTGTTATTTTAATTTTTTATAAATTAAAACTAAGGGCTGGGGCTGTATCTCAGTGGTAAAGCGCTTGCCTTGCATATGTGAGGCACTGGGTTTGATCCTCAGCACCACATAAAAATAAATAAAGATATTGTGTGTCCATCTACAATTAAAAGAAAATTAAATATATTTAAAACAGCAGATATTGAATATTCACATACCGTTTAATTTTGAACTGTGATATTTAATGTGATTTTTTTTTTACATTTTTAATTAGTCATTTGTACATTAATACTTATGCACTTCTAAATTGGACCAAAAATAACTTCATTGGAATGGCCTAGAGAGTTCTCAAAGTCTTTCCCTCACCACCCCATGGGCATCAGTTAACATCTTAGAACTTCCCCAAATTTGGTGACTTAAAACATTATTTTTTCAATTTCTGTAGGTTAGGAATTTGGAAGATATTTTGGCTTGGAATTCCATGAATTTGCAGCTAGATGTTTAACAGGACTGTAATTACAACTCTTTTATCTTAAATATCAGTTAAGACCACGTGTGTGTGTGTGTGTGTGTGTGTGTGTGTGTGAATATAGTTTTGATATTTGATACTTACTAAAAAGAATTGAAAACACCAGTACTTAATTCTGCTGGTTTATAACCAGTGCATGTGGCATGGGGCCAGGTGCTGTCTGGCTTTGAGTTCTTTCTCCACTGCTAAAAGCTGTGTGGCCATGGGCAAGTTGCGTGATGTTCTTTTCCTCTTCTGTAAAATGGGAGTGATGGAGAGGACAATGGTATATTTCTTATAAGGTTTATGTAAAAGCAGTGGTTCTCAAAGCAAGCTTCCTAGACGAGCAGCAAGAGTTTCTCCTAGGAACTGGATCGAAATGCAAATTATTCAGCTCCACCTTAAATTCACCGCATTAGAAATTCTAATTTCTCTTTTTAAAGACTGCCAGGTGACTTTGGTGAAGGTTAGAGTTTGAGAACCACTCTTGCTGGGATTTAGTTTATATGAAATGTTAGTACCTGGCAAATGTAAATAGTATATTAATGAACATTTTTTTTTAATGAGTATGCTATAATGTTGCCAAAACATGCCAAATTTAATTTAGGCCCAAAGAAGCATGTCCATTTTGTTCCTCTAATAAATAAATCCTGCTTAATCCTTTGTCCAAAGATTTCAATACAGCCTCCTAAATCCCTCATGATCTGTTCCCTGCCCTCCTTTCCTGCTCTTTCTATTCTCCATGTGTATCACAGCACCTATTTTCTCATTTCTAAGAAATTTCACACCTCTAAGCCTTTGTCCATTTGGTTCTTTCTGCTTGGAAATGTTACCTTCTCCCTTTCTCTACTCCCTCCCTCCTTACTTTTTCTTTCTTCCTTCCTCTTTCTTTCTTTCTTTTGAGACAGGCTCTCACTAAGTTGCTGAGGTTGACTTTGAACTCTCGATCCTCCTGCCTCAGCCTCTTGAACCTCTGAGATTATAGACGTGTACTACTGTGCCTGGCATAGTTCACTGAAAATGATAGCATTTTTTTTATCTGGAAAGTTGTCTTACAGTTTGTTGAGAGTTTTGTCATGAATGCATGTTGGATTTTTGTCAAATGCTTTTTTTTTTTTTTGCATGTAACTATGTGATATTTGTCCTTTATTAAGACTATATTGTATTAATTTTTAGATGCTAAACCAACCTTGCATTCCTAAGATAAATCCAGCTTGGTCATTTCTATGTGTTGCTAGATTTGATTTGTTAATGCTTTGTTGAGGAATTTTTGTTCATGTTCATGGGATATGTTATGATGTCTCTGGCCTAATAGAATCAGGAAGGGGGTGTCCCCTCCTCCTCTGTTTTCTGAAAAACTTATGAGTGTTTGTTGTTATTTCTTCTTTAAATATTTGATAGTATTTACCAGTAAATTCTAAAATTCTACCTCTGTGAATTTTAATTACTAATTCAACTTATTCACTTATTATAGGTCTATTAAAATTACTAATTCAGTTTATTTACTAATTATAGGTCTATTCAGATTTTCTATTTTTTCTTGAATTGGGTTGGTAATTTGTTATTTTCTTTCTTTCTTTCTTTTTTTTTTTTTTTTTTGTAGTGCTGGGTATTGAACCCAGGGTCTTGTGCATTTGAGGCAAGCATTCTACCAACTGAGCTATATCCCCAGCCCTAATTTGTCTGTTTCTAAGAATGTACATATTTCATTTAAGATGTCCAATTTGTTGCCATAAGTTGTTCATAACATTTCCTTATAAACCTTAATTTTGGGCTGGGGATGTAGCTCAAGTGGTAGCGTGCTCGCCTAGCATGCGTGAGGCACTGGGTTCGATTCTCAGCACCACATTAAAATAAAATAAAGATATTGTGTCCACCTAAAACTAAAAGATAAATATTTTAGTAAATAAATAAAGAAACCTTAATTTCTGTTGGGTTAATACTGATGTGCCTTCTTTCATCCCCCTCCCTCCCTCCTTCCACCATCAGTGTAGGCAACAGTTTATAAATTTTGTTTTCTTATCTAAGAATCAACTTCTGGTCTCATTGTTTTTCCTCTATAATTTTGTTTCTATTGATTTCCACTGTGATATTGTTTCCTTTCTTCTATTTGTTTGGAGTATAATTTGTTCTTCTTTTGAGACCCTTCTTTGCTGGGTTAAGCATTAAAAGTTATAAATTTACCTTGAAGCCCATTACCCACATCCCATACATTTTGATTGAT